TTTTATTATTAGAGAACGCTTACGTGGGTAATCTTTCCATATTTGAAATTCGCATTTCTTTATATGGTAATAATTTATCAAACTGTTACATTAAATTGTTTGTGTCAAATTAGTCACGTGGTACGAAAAGGACGATTTAAAGGGCGGTGGTCGTTGAACAGCACGTGTTCGAATTTCATGTAAATAAAAAATGTATTACATACGTCACTATAAGTCTCATATCTGACAGAACGCGACGCGACGATCGCCGATCTTTAACGTACTTGGCTCCATTAAAACAGATTGTCATTATACTTCCAGAATTTGGTTCGCAAAACCCAGATAAAAATATAATATGGTCATTGAACTACTGACAGTTAAAGTATGGCTATGAGGGCGTCAGCATCCGAATGGCCTACTTTAACAAAGTAAGTCTGCACATTTGGCGAGTTTTAAGTGTGTGTGTTTTTTTTTTACTAGTAATCATATGTATTTAAATTTGTGATTGTTACATTGTTATTACTGTAAAATACTTTATTTTAGCTGGAATTAATTTTCGCTGAAAAGACTTTTTCAGTGTATTGTATTGTATTGTATGGAATTTATTTTCCCTGATTTTTGACGATTTGAATATAAAATATAGGAAAAAGGTATATTCGCTGGATTTTATTTTTACTGCATCATTCCTTCAGCGAAAATAGCCAAAAAATAGTTGCAAGCGAAAATAAAGTATTTTACAGTACATGATTATAATATGTGAATAAGTTAGAATATTTGGCAAAAAAATGTTTCATATTGTGTTTGATCAAAAAAATGTAACACTCCAACCATGTAGTGAATTGAAGAGGTCTACATTATAAACTGACATACAGTTTACCAAATTATATCTACCAGTGGAGTCTACCCAAAGTTACAATAAAATAATGAATTAATGCATTATATTGCCAACAATTTATCTTTTCTTTTTATTTAGACGTTTTTGTGAAGAAATTGTCAGCCTAACAAATTAAAGGGCACAGCATGTATTCAAATTTCACGTAAACACGTATTTTACATGCCTTGTGTACGTTGCTATGAGTCCCATATCAAATATGACACGGCACGACGACCGCCGCCCTTTAACCATGCAAACATTTATATCTTTCAGCTCTTACTTATACCAATATTTCCCATTTATTGTATGTACATATATAATATATAAATAAAGGAACACAATTTATCTGTATAATGATTATATTAATTGACACATGCCACATGTGATACAATCATAGAGATTTGGTTACAACCTATCAAAATTTATATAACACAAGAAGTTTGCCTATAAACATCTAGGCCATTACATATATATTTCTTTGTAATTCTAGCTACCACATACTTAATTTGTGTGACAGAATACTTGCCTTTGTTTCGTCCATTATAACAGTTTAAAGGCAATATACCACACAATCAAGATGTCCAAACCAGCTCATAAGATAGCAGACATTAATCTGGCGGAGGCCGGAAGAATGGTTATCTCTTTAGCCGAGAATGAAATGCCAGGATTACTAAAAATGAGAGAGAAGTATGGAACGAGCAAACCACTAGACGGTGCTAGAATTGCTGGGTGTTTAAATGTTACCAAGGAAACAGCCGTGCTTATAGAGACACTACTTATACACGGTGCTAAGATTTGTTTTATTAATTCAGTTTTCTAATATTTGTGTTTTCAATACCTGAGCAACTGTTTCGACTTTCACTCAAATTGAATTCTGAGTGAGTCACTGGTTGCCAAGGGAAGTGCTAAGGAATCGTCACAGTTCCAGTGACACTTTCATGGCAGCAGTATAATAGCCGCGGCTAGCCCATTGTATCATGAAAGCTATTCATTGCAACTGAATGCACCTAACCTGATGATCACCAGCGTGGCCACAAGACAACAAATTTGTTGACTCTTAAAAGCTTTTCTTGCTATGCTGCCAATCTGAATTTCGTGGTGATATCTAGTGCATAAATAGCTGCTCGCTGTTGCCCTGCTCTTGTTTCCCTGAAAATCGAATTCACAGCACAGCCGCATGAGCCTTGTTGCTCCCCTTCATTCCACATATAAATGAAGAATTTGTATGGTGTATGCAGCAGACTCTGGTCTTTTGAGATGGCCAGACACTTAATATGATTTTAGACGATGGTTGTAATCTCACACAGTTAGTGTATAGTAAATATTCGCAGTATTTATCAGGTACAGTGTAATTAAACAAATAAATTGTCATTAGTTGATTTTTTTCATGATGCCATGTGGGAAATAAAGTGAAAACGTTTAAAGTTGAGATACTGATGGTTGTCTTCCGTACTTATTATTGTCGTTATCATTGCCAACTTCTTAATCTGTGTAATACATTCCATTGATGTTCAATGCTGGAGAACTGAAGAAAACATGCATCAGTGTTAATACCTCGGCTGTGAAAGCAAAATTTGAAATTTTTTACGGCTTCAGAGAGTCTGTGACAGACGATATACGAAGGGCTACTGATGTCATGCTTGCTGGAAAGGTATGTTGTGATTTGGAACCCCAAGGTGAAATGATGTGAGGGCTTATGCTAGAAACAAATTATTGACAAATAATCATGACAATAATGGGTCGTATCAGTAAGTGAAAGTAAAATGTAGCTGAATGACAAAAAAGTGTGCTACTGGTTTCAAAGCTAATTCATTTTTAATACGTCTCCAATACTCTCAGCACACATGAGTTCTTTCTAAGATTTCTTTGATGGTTATTAATGTGGCATTGTTTTTTAGACCATGTACAGTATTAAGTAAACCATATTTCCCCCAACTACTGCAAAAGGACTATTAAATATTCACAGGGTTTTAAATTCACGGTTTTATCATTTAGATAATGTGTGCTATGCTAAATTTTACATATTCACTGGGTTTTAATTAGTGCATTTTCCAGTCAGCAAAATAAGCAAAATTAAAACCCAGTGAATAATAAACCCTTTTACAGTAAATTCTCTTTGTGTTGTCGAAGTGTTTTTAAATTAGTATTATGAAAGCTCTATCATTCTGTTCTAATAGCTGGAACAAATTACTCAGTTCATATTAGTGCTTATATTGATTTTCTGGCATCTTGTTTTCTGTAAAGATTTTATTGGTAGGTTTGCAAATGTGTATCAGACTGTGCAACTCTCTCCATAAGTTGGCATTAGAACCCAGTCTAGTATTCCTATGGGATTTGGGAGATACATTACCAACGATATTATTACAAGATAAATGATTTATCATTGAACACATACAACAATGCATATTTCCACTGGAATCAGTGACCTTTGAATGTGTATCACCAGTGATCAGTCAAGTAGAAACAGACACAATTTTTTATCAGATTTTCTCAATTTTTGCATGATAGAAGACTTTATACCAATGAATAAGGTGACCAAGTTTGATAAAGTTTGGAATATAATTAGTAAAGTTATTGTGCACGCAATAACAATTATTAACAACATCGACGACTATGACAATGCCAGACCGAAATTTTCCCCTCAATATACCTTTCTCTTCCATCTTTGATGATACGGGGCAAGGTAAAAAAACAGAAAATAGGTGGTCACCAAACTACTTTTCATAAAACACCCCCCCCCAAAAAAGGCATCATATCTCAATCTTGTGTTTGATAACACATGGTGAAAAATTGTATGTAGTTATGGTTGTAATAATTTAATACATTTTATAAGATGAAATCATAGATTCGTTTGAAATTGTTCTATAAATTTTCTGTCAAAAAAACAGATTGAATGCCAAGCAAATACTCATTGAATATCATTGTATAAATACTGTTTACTAATTTCAAAATAATCTACTGGTTGACAATTTAACACATTCCTGTGTGATCTAGTACATGAGTAAATGTTCATAACATTCATAACAAGCAACTGCTACAAACTAAATTAAGTCACATTGTTGTCTAAACAAGACTTAAACGGTCATTTATGTCTCCTGTTCTACTGGCCAATTGAATAATCAGGGATATTCATTTTTCCTAAAACTAATCAGGTCTGCTCATTAATCCAGAGCATCTTTGTAGGCTTTGGCAGACCTTACATACATACATACATACATACATACATACATACATACATACATACATGGACAAACTGGGTCGTGCCAAACTCCCATATGGTGCTCCCATATGTGCGAAGGCACAAGACAGTCAAAAATGAAACCACTAAAGTACTTGTTTGTTTACATTGTTTTTTATTACTTGAAGTACAAGGTCTTTATCCTTTTGCAAAACAAAAAGCACAATTGTAAATACTAAGCATCATAGTACTTAAAGGACGGTAGTCGTCACGTCCGCGTCCTCTTCGATATGCGACTCGTAGCTACGCACACAACGCGTGTAAAATACATTGTTTATTTACATGAAATTCGAACACGCGCTGCGCGACGACCACCGAGCTTTAACTAGCACAATCTACCTGATATTGTCATTTTATTCAAGCACAGACTTGGGTTTATACTGTGCATCAATATAGGCCAGTAGCCAAGAAAAACCAAATCAAACAAGTAATTATTTATGCATTTTATAGCTGTGTTACTGGTGTTTTTTCACATCACCATGCATTTCAGTTAACGGTGACCTTCAATAACAAATACATAAATAAACATGCAAATATAACATGACCAAATTACAAAACAAACCTTGACATAAAAATAAAATTTGCATTTTGAATTATGGTACCTTGTTGAATAGATAGATGTATTTACGTGCTATATTTATAATTGACTAAATACAAGGTCTCTTTAATGAATATAAATTTGCATATTGTTATGTGCAAATGTCAGAAAATTATAATTATATATTCAAATAATATATTAATATATGAAACAATTTCGTTAAAATTTTTTTTTTTTTCAAGTCATACAAATAATCTACCCACAGAAGTGGATGTATGTTTTTCGACTTTACAAAGGCAAAGAAAAAAATGTTACAAAACTGCATAATTTGTTTCTGTTGGGTGAACGTTTGTATTATCACCCAATGAAGAAATACACATTTAAATAGATGACATATGTCATAATATCTCCCAAGATACAAGAATATGCACGAATCTATCGCACATAAAAGGTGTACATTATAAAAAGCTTATTATTAATAAAAATTAAACTCCAGATATACAGGAAACATGTTCACAGAATAAACTATATACGATTCATATTGTACATAAAAAATTAAAAAACGAGGTAATCTGGAGGGAGTTAGAAAAATTAGAATGGTTGTATTCCATATTAAAAATAGGTTACAAACCACGCATGATAACCTAAGTAATTATTTTTAAATGATTGATATACCTTGTAAGTACATGTGTTGAGCCTCTCTAGTAAATGAGTAACCCTTTGTATCAATAGCTGTTATATTGACACGTTTTCTAAACACAGCAGCCTCCTAACCTGGATTCTGCTAATAAAATATGGGTAAATATTGATAAAATAAAGAATGTTGTATATAAAAATACAAGCATAAACTTGACATGCCATCTATTTGACATTCTATATTATGTAAGTCATTCTAGCTTATTATTCACATAATAAACAATGCCCTCATTACCAGTAAATTTCATATCAGCTATGTAAGCACTGATATTCACGGCACTTTTATCCCCTTGATAACTTGATCAAGCCATGGCTTATATTAAACATATTAATGCAATAATACTGAAAATGTCCTTCTTCACATGTATAACTACTGAATTCGATGAGATAGTGAATCTGGCTTTTATAAAAATTAGTTGGGAAACACAACTGCAGCATTTTCCAACCGAGTGAAAACTATATAATATTTTTACAATACTGAAAGTACACAAATATTATTTTTTGAAAGTAGCTGTTCCATCAGTCCCATCTTTACCAGATTAATTTAACAATAAGCTATTACAGTAACAACAAACAATCCAGAATCCTTTATACAGTTTTTATATATACTTTGATAAGATTTCATCCTAATGAAACAATGACAGGACAAATTAAAGAGAAATTAAGACCACAGAAGATGCCAAGGACGAGAAAGAGAGCCATCATAGTACCAGCTGTTGAAGCATGCTCAGCATCCACTAATCTGAAAACAAAATCAGAAAACAAATATTAGCAGTACGTGCAGACTGAAGTTCAGTCAATCTTGTCATAATGTTTACATTATAGAAAAGTTAAGATAGGCGATTACCGGTAATGTACATTGGCCTTGTTTTGTTGTGCCAAATTATTCAACGTTAATATTAAAAACTTTCAAAGATGTGATATGTGTATATAAACAAATTCCTTATACTACATCCGGAACCACTACAATAATAATTATGATTCTGTCAATACCTACACATTGTAATCATTTAGCAATTTATTGCATCAACAAACTTGTATTTTCATGACATCTTTGATAACCAACAATCATAAATGTTAAAGTTGAATACTCACTTTGGAGCAGCCATCATGGGCAAACTCTTTAGATAACCAGATGATAGGGAGAACACCAGTACAATAGCAATGTAAACATAGTCGTTGTTTATCAAAACTGGCAGTGTCCTGTCATATGGTCGGTAGTTACAGAAGAGAAAGATAGGAATAAAGATGAGCCGAAGAGTGGAAGGTATCCATAGACGTCCAGATGAAGGCTGAAAAGAAATTACATAATTACTTCATATGAATACAAACAAGTGTTGTTTCTTGTTTTTTTAAATCTATAATGCTAAATTAAAAGCTAGAAAGATATTATTTCACAAAAGTGACAACATATAAGACAGGAAAGTTTGCACATTTTGCAGCAGGGAAAATTACCGGTACACTGAAACAAGTGTTCTTGCATAAACCTTTTAAAGTGAGGCATTAATCACCTGTGCATACATGCAGAAATGACCATAGTGTGTTTTTTACAAACAAGACATGAATGCCACGGTCCTCGTTATATAATTATAAAATACACATGTTACAATAATACATAAAACATCTGCAAAAAATTGAATTAATATGTACTCTATGTGGGTACAACTCATCATAAAGTGATTTCCCTTAATATGATAACTGAAAACTTTCATTGACCCGGGTCCAAAATCTCAGAGTACACAAGTGCAACCAAACTATGTCTCATACATTCTCAAGAAACTGCATTCATAAACCTTGATGTATCTTTAATAACAACTTGACTTCTTTGTTAATTCCCATCAAAATGTAGCCCTAACACCAGTCTACATTTTCTACTGAGATTATGGTACGACCCATCTACCACTGATTCAGATCAAGGTCATGACCAGGTCATGACATCACTAAAAACCCCAGCATTACAATCTAAGCTAATTATTTATTCTGAGCATGCTCAGTTGTTCTCTCAGTGCAGTACGGGAGAGGTAATTTTCGATGAAAATCTTGAAAAAGATCCACATAGGATTTTCAGATCTGGAAAAAAAATTACGTGCATATTCAACAGGAACTTGTTCATCATCCTGCGAAGTTTTATTGATATCTGCTGCAGAATTTCTGAGAAAATGTTAGAGACATAAAGGGGGGGGGGGTAGACGGAAGGAAATAAAAAATAATAGTCGCCTTTCAGGCTATGCTTAATAATCACCCATGATCCTTTGTTTTTTCAACATGCTTTGTTATCGTAGCTTAGGACTGTATGCGCAGGTGGAGATCCCCCGCTTTAAGCATACCACCATGCATGGAATTGCAACAGAAGAACAGAAGTTATTGATATGCTAATTTTACGATTTACAGTATACATGTACATGTATATAGGGGAACATTGAATCTAATGATCTTAATATGATAATTTGCACTCACCCATCTGATCCAGGCTGGAAAGATACTGCCAACAAAGTCACAGAGGTTGAATAACAAAAAACAAGTCACTGGGGTAAAGTATTTCACTACAAATAAAAGAAGAAAAAAATTATATTACAAATGGACTTAATGTGGTTCTAAACGAACAAGTTTTGTCTGACACAAATGCATCATGGGAAATAAATTTGAATATCCTGCTCATCTATTACTATGTAAATAAATGTTGCTTGTGTGTTAACTTTTGTCTGCCTTGAAAGGACATATTGTCACAGACACAGATTTGACTAAAATTAAGAGTGACAGTCATTTTGAAGTCTTGGCTAGCTCTTTAAACAATTTAGCAACACTAAGTGTTAGAAGTAACACATTTTGTACACTCAAAATTTAGCCTATTTGTGTAGTGAATAAACTTTCATGGATTTAATGATGCAGTGTTATTAGGTTTCAAATTCACTGGTTTAGTAAGAAAACAATGCATTCTATGGTTAATTTTGCAAAAATAAAACCGCTGATAATAAGCCTAATATCGCATTGTATGAAATATCAAATTTAGGCAATACAAAATAGTATAGCTATACCTCTACCACAATTCATGGATACAACACTAGTATTATTGATAGATTTATTCACTCACATTTGAAGTCACTGGGATCCTCATCACTAGTTTCCACTTGTACAAGCACTGCAGGGAAGCAAGTTAATGTAACAAAGAACACCATCCAGATATTAAAGATTTGCCATTTGATCTGTAAATAGGAAAACGTAGTTAGGAATAATTTTATAAATTTTGTTTCTGTACTTTAATCCTATGTTTAAACCAAAGGTGATACTTTAAACTTACTTTAGATATATATTGATGATTTATAAATTTTATTACAAAATTATTCTTCCAGATATCTTAACACATTGCATTTTGATACCGTTTTTTATTCACAAACACTTTGGCTATTTATAAAGCTTTCAACATGTGATGCGTTAAAGGCCAATGTCATTTCCATGAATAACCAACTGTGGAGCAAATAGACTAAGCTTTTGAAATTAAATTAAAAATTAAAAATAAACAAGCAGCCTGTCGGCTGAGATAGCTCCGCTGTTAGCAAGGCACATTTCAATTAAAGAACTGAAGATATCATTAGAAAATAAACAATATGTATAGTATCATGGTCTTGCGGTTTTTAACAAGAAGTAGAAAATATCACTTTTTACCAGAAAAGACAAAAATAATCATTAAAATTAGAGAAATGAAGATATCATTATGCAAATGAACAAATCTGAGAGAGGTCTACCAGTAGTACCTATATACCGTACTTCCCCCGAGTATAAGCCCCTCCCCGAGTATAAGCCCACCCTCTGTTTTAGACATTTAACAAGTTGAGGGCATCCCCGAGTATAGGCCCAGGGTTTTTTTTACCGGGCGTCGACGACATTTATTAAAATATGCAAGTAAAAAGTGTATCTCATTGCATAATAATGGTGATTGGTACGGTAGTTTGGTTCCTGCTTTTACAAGAAAAACTCCATTAATTTCAGAGTGGATGGCCGGGCGAACGTACGGAACATGGTTCGCACCTTTTCTATTCTGTTATTTACTCACGATGAATCCCGATGTTGCAATACTGAAGTAATTAATTTCCATTCCTTTTGAGTAGTGGTTTTAGAAATGCCAAAAATGGTCATTGAACATCGTTTTACTATTCCGAATAATCGTGTCCATTGAGACCTTCCTGTGAACGAGCAAACTATTCTTCGACATGACTTGTTGGCGACCATGAAACGTTTAAATACTTCCTCCACCCTCAGTTTACTTTTCTAAAATTGCGAATCAACAGCTTTAGGGAAAAAAAAATCACCGTTTTTTGTCAAAATCAGATTGCATTTTAACATTGCGTTAATTCACTTCCGCATTGCGTTGAAAAAATTACTTCGTCAATAATCTGGAAACTTCGTCTGTACGACACAGCATTTTGATTGGTTAACAAAAGACATGACCTGTTAGGTCAAAGGAAGTTGTTCAGGTCAAATCATGATGAAAAACACCATGGTGGAAATTTCTTTGTATCGAGAGTTTGTGAGCGATCAAAAACATTCCACAACGAAGATAATGATAAAGATCTTGCCTTCGACAGTTTTCCCACAGACCCTACTCATTTTTGCACCGTAAATTCAGACTGTGTGTAAACCATATTGTAATAAAACGTGTGTATTTTTATTAACATATTTGTTTCTTCATTGTAAAAAGTGTTGTGGAAATCAAAAAGACATAATATTTCTCCGAGACCGGCGCTGTGAACGAAAAATGTGATGATTTTTCGAGGTTGGGAAGAGAGTTACAATTATAAAACCCCCAAAAAATTATCTTTTCTGAGGTGGTCCTTGAGTATAAGCCCACCCCCTAATTTTCCCGATTTTACATGTTTAGGCCCCTGGGCTTATACTCGGGAAGTATGGTATATAATAGCAAAGCAATCAGACTTACGGTTTTCAACAAGAAGTCGAAAATATCACTTTTTACCAAAAATTACAAAAACATTCACCAAAATTAAAGAATTAAAGATATCATCACAAAATGAACAAATCTGAGTGAGGTCCACATGTAATACCTATATACCGGTATATACCTAATAGCAAAGCAATCAGACTATCACTTTTTACCAAAAATGACAAAATATTCATCGAAATTAGAGAATTAAAGATATCATCATGAAATGAACAAATCTAAGAAAGGTCTACCCAAGGTACATATACACTAAGTATCAAAGCATTCAGACTTGTAGTTTCCAAGAGACGTCGACAAAGTAAAACATTGACACGGACGACAACGATAAGCTCCGCTTGACAGACAACAGCAGAGCTAAAAAAAAAAGTGTCACACAGACAAGGCTGGATATGGCTTTTGTGGCCCAGAGATGTAGCTTATAAACATTTGATGCAGTACTATCAAAATTAAAACAAATTTACTGTACTACGGCTTAAACCAGTTTGAAGTACATGCTTTGAATCAATAAAAGGGCTGGGTGTGATATAATAAATTATTGTATGGCTCACTCATCGAGTTTTTCGTAGCGTTATGAGGCCAGGCATATGACAATAAAGATCATTGTAATAATCACTTTTAGTTCAACACAACAGATATACAAATTTGGCATTAATATGCAACTTATTTGCAAGACCCTGGCATTTAGCTTATTTAAATAGTGGGTTTGTATACTTCAGATGACAAGATATCGATAAAAGCATCTAAAAGCTTGAATGGCTACCAAAACCAGTGTAATAGCTAACTACCTGTTGAATCGACTGGCAACTTTTTTTTGACAGGCCATATTGTATTATTTTTTCTGTTTTTCCATCCACTGTTCTTTGATAATTGTCAAATATAATGCCTAAAATCATCCTTTTAACATATTTTTTGACAAAAAAGTGTTTGTTGAAACGATCCTGTTAAAACATGGCACATATAAACAGAATCAACCTCCTATTTTCCTAATTAGCATGGTAATTCTTTAAACACCTGAAGAGGGAATAACTGGAAAAATTACCTTTAGTAGAGTTCAGTTCAAATAAGACAAATAGAATCACCATCATATCATGCACTTACCTGCCAGAAGATTTGCAGGAATGGTGGAGTTGCCTTGGGTGTGAAATCGGTCTTTTCATTGTCATCTATATGTGTAGTGTGTAAATAGTACTTAACAAAGGGCTGTGGAAAGAAGATTACGGTAATATTAGGTCAAAGTGGAAACTCCAGATTCAGCCATTTCAATCATTTTGCTAATCATTTTACAAAAAACAAGTCATTGTCAATGACACGTCCCCGTTCCGTTCATATTTGAGTGACATATACATTCAAAGCAGATCATGACCGAAATGCACCTGCATATGTACAACACATTGTACTAAATCTGAACAAAATCCATCCATGCATAACTGAGATCCGGGTTCGGAATGGTGAAAATACGTGATTTTGATGCATTTTCGGCCTTAAAATGGCCATCATTCAGCTATTGTTAAGCGGATCATGAAACAAATGCACATATCTATTTGTGACATGATGTATCATGTGTGTGTGAAGTTTGAACTTGATCAATCCAGACATGTCTTGGATACGGATCCAGAACTGAATTCTTTAAAACAAAATAGCCGCCAGTCGGCCATTTCGAACTTGATCCGAAAAAAAAAATGACGTACATCAAGGTCCTATTATGTTTAATGTATGTACCAAATTTGAACGAAATTCCTCCATGCATCTGGGTCCGGAATGGTGAAAATGTGCGACTTCAATGCATTTTCGGCCTTAAAGCGGCCGCCATTTGGCTATCGTTAATGAGATCATGAAACTAATGCACATACATATTTGTGACATGATGTACCTTGTGTGTGTGAAGTTTAAACTCAATCAATCCAAGCATGTCTCAGATACATATCCAGAACTGAATTCTTTAAAACAAAATGGCCGCTAGTCGGCCATTTCAAACCCGATCCAAAAAAAAAAAAAATGACGTGCATCAAGGTTCTATTATGTTTAATGTATGTACCAAATTTGAACAAAATCCGTCCATGCATAACTGAGATCCAGGTCCGGAATGGTGAAAATGTGCGATTTTGATGCATTTTCGGCCTTAAATTGGCCGCTATTCGGCTATCGTTAAACGGATCATGAAAAAAATGCATGTGCATATGTCCCATATAATGTGTGATGTATGAGTGAAGTTTGAACTTAATCGGTCCATGCATGTTCGAGATACAGGTGATCACAGACGCACGCACTGACGCACGCACGGATGCACACAGGGCAAAACATAAGTCCCCGTTTTCGGACTACGTCCGAACGGGGACTAATTAGCTAAAAAGACTGTCAATGTTTACAAGAAAAAAAAATCATTCAAAGAATGTTTGAAACTGTTGCAAGCCTAAGATTGTAGCAAATTTAAAATTTGAAAATAGTGAAACTAAATAAATAGTGGGAAAAAATACCATCTTTTTTTTTGGTTTCATTCAAAGATTTTTTAGTAAAACAGCAAGTACTAATTTAATTGTCATATTTAACTGGTCAGCAAAAGTAAAACTTGGCATTCACAATATGATGTCCTAACTGCTGATGGTAGAGGAAGACTAAAAGAACTGATAACCCTCATTCAGTATGAATGAATTAGGTATTATTTTTGTTGATTTAGAAAGTGATGTTAATATAAAGGAACTCACCAATCTGTTCATAACAATGAATGATATGAAACAAATAACAAGAACAACCAAAGCACATCCAAAGTATCCCACTCCAGCTGCTTGTAAGGATGATGTACCTGTAACAAAAGAATCAACAGATTGGTCAGTTATTATGAACAATACGAGCATTTGGAGAAGAATGTAATCTTCATATTTTGGAGGGTGGGTTGAATCATGCAAGCAAATAGACATGACAATGTCTTAGAATAGGCTAGAATTATCAAAATACACAAAAGTCAAGTTTGGCCAACCAAGACTATATCAAGGCAATGATTAAATCAAGAGGTAATTCAGTATTAATGAATCTATCATCAAAATGGAACCGAAGAAGCCGGAAAAAGACTATCTATGACCGACATCCATGATTGACCCAAGACAACTAGACACAACAAGGAAGTTTATCAGTAAATCAAAACTCTTTCACCAGAGACACATTTTTATAATCAGTTGTTTATTCACTTACTGATCAAGTCAGTTTAAATGTTTAGCATAACAAATCATTTGAGAAAGAAAACAAATAAATAACATACTGAAATGGATAGTTCATATTGAGCGGCTATGTTGTTTTACTGTTGACATGTGGTATGCAAATTACCAGCACATGCTTAATAAACAGTAAGACAAAGGATTGGGGTGGGGATAATTTATGTAATTTATACTTCAATGACTTGAATTCAGATATGAATTGTATGTAAATGTAACCAATTATTAAACAATATTAAATAATATATTTTTAATTTATTTAAATAATATTTATCCCATTTTAATTAGTACCCGTTCGGACCAAGTCCGAAAACGGGGACTTATAATTCGGTCTCCGTCCGTGCGTCTGTGTGTTCGTGCGTCCGTCCAGAGTCGTATCTCAGAATCTCTTGGACCGATTCCGTTCATTCTTTGCATGTGCCTAGTGCTTTATGTGGGACATATGCACATACAGTGGTTTAGCGATTCGATTCAAAATGGCCGACTGGCAGCCATCTTGTTTTTTGAAAATGTTTTATTTTAGACATGCTTTGTCCGTTTTCATTCAAACTTGGTACATAGATTATACATGTTAGGATACATGTCCATGACGATTTATTTCACAATTGGATCAAAGATGGCCGACTGGCAGCCATCTTGTTTTTTGAAAATGTTGTATTTTGGACATGCTTTGTCAGTTTTCACTCAAATTTAGTACATAGATCATACACGTTAGGATGTATGTCGCCGACCGTCCGTGAGTCTATCCATCCGTCCGTGAGTTCCTGAGTCTGTCCGTCCGTCCGTGCGTCAGTCTGGTATCTGGTATGCGGTATCTTGGACGTGCTCTGTCAGTTTTCATTCAAATTTGGCACATACATGTACTTTATCCATGTTAGGATGCATGTCCATGACAATTTGTTTCAAAATCTGGTCAAGGATGGTCGATTGACAGCCATCTGACTTTTTGCCTTACAACTATATTTCCACAATTTATGTACCATTTTCATTCGTATTTGGCAATAATGTTTCATAATCAGATCAAAGATGGCCGAATAACGGCTGTTTTTTTTTGGCCATATTACTACTACACGGAACACATGTTTTGATGTAAATAAACAATCTGTTGTATACGTCACTTGGAATTCAAGTTTCAAGTTCACGCTCGCGACAACCCCCTCTGCTTTAATATGATGAGCACAAAGAGAACTTAATTTAACGGGGACTGTGTCATTTTCAATGACTTGTTAACTAATGGGTATCAAACCATGTGTGCGGTAAATCATATTTCTTTAAAAAATATATAAAAGTGTATACTATGTAAATTAGCATGCAAATTAGTATTATTAGACAACAGTGAGTGACTCTTAAATAAAAGTCATGGTGCAATGGTGCTTATTTGGGGTGAAATTTTGTTTCAAATGCTATCTTCTAATGAAATATCACTATCTGTAGCTTTTAATGGAAGATTAAATTTAAATCAAACATTTGCATATAATAATATCCATCATTTGTGTCTTTATTTGTTTTATATAGTCAATACATACAAGGTGAACGTATACCAAAAATAATAAACCCAAAAATATGGAAATTTGATATTTTTAAAATACATAGGATAAAAATTAAATTAGATTAGGAGAATAATTCAACTTACTTGCCATGGAAAGAATACTGACTATTGATACAAAGGTGCCTCCGAGACCCTAAAACAGAAAGAAATTATTATGAAGCATTTCAAACTGTCTAATTGTTGCAAATTATGGTTATGAAATAATGCAATTTTCACACATGCACATGGTTTTAGCAATGCTGCATTCATCTTCAATACCAATTATATTTCATCGTATAAAAAGTAGAAATTTTATAAATATTAAGTAAGCAGCCTGTTGGCTGTTTAAAATTTTTACCCCAAAAATATTCACTGAAATTAGAGAATTTATGGTATTGTCACAAGATGAAGAAATCTGACAAAGGTCCACCCAAGGTGTCTCCATATAAAATAAAGCAATTGAGCTAGCCATTTTTAAAAAGAAGCTAAAAACCGCATTCGTTATCAAAAATGACAACAACAAAATCATAAAAATTAGAAATTCAAAGATATCTCCATGAAATGAACAAATCTGAGAAAAGTCATCCCATGGTACATACAAGCATCAAAGCAAGCAGACTTGCATTTTCAAGAAGTATTAGAAAATGTCAAGTTGTCAATGTAGAACAATTGAACAACTTTATTCCGATGAATGTCGACAGTGGAGAGACAGTATAAAGAGCAACATGAAAACATAACATATTGATGGTTTAAATGATATCATTTTTGAGGACTTGGAATTGTTAACGTACATAAATGTTATTGCCATACTAGGCCACTGGCCCACACAATCTCAAGTATACATTACTTGAAAACAATAATAATACATACAAGAGGTTAATTTTAGTGCCTCTGACCTTAACTTAAAAGCTTAATACAGGAATTTTGACAAATTACAAAGTGTAATGGGTACCTCACTTGTTATTAATTTTATGAAAGTGTGGTGTCCCTGGTCATGACCAACGTGGTAATAGCTCGTCTCTGTAGGCCTGGTATATGGGACATTCGAAAATTAGATATAATTCATCTTCAATTATTCTGCTATTGCATAATACACATTTCCTTTCAAAACGATCTACATTATGCATACGGCCAGATTCAATTGCTATTTGGTGACTCGAGCAACGAAGGCTTGAATTTGATAATGATTTCCTATGTTTGTTCACACTTACACTGATAATATATTTTTCTACAGTATAGTGTTGTTTTACCTGGCAGAACAAATTTAGGCGGCTCATAGTTGAGCATTCTTCCCACCATTCCTGATGCCACGTGTCCCTATTCTTTGTGCAAAATTTGCGAGGAATGCAATTTCATTTTCCAAATATTGGTATAAAGTGCTTTAAACAAGCAGCCTATCGGCTGAGATAGCTCCGCTGTTAGCAATGCACATTTCAATTAAAGAACTGAAGACATCATTAGAAAATGAACAATATGTATAGTATCAAAGCAATCGGACTTACAGTTTTTAACAAGAAGTCGAAAATATCACTTTTTACCAAAAATGACAAAAATATTCACCAAAATTATAGAATCGAAGATATCATCACGAAATGAACAAATCTGAGAAAGGTCTACATGTAGTATCTAAATATGTAATATCAAAGCAATTGAACTTTTGGTTTTTAACAAGAAGTCGAAAATATCACTTTTTTACCAAAAATTACAAAAATATTCACCAAAATTAGAGAATTGAAGATACCATCACAAAATGAACAAATCTGAGAGAGGTCCACATGTAGTACCTATATATGTAATATCAAAGCAATCGGACTTGTGGTTTTTAACAAGAAGTCGAAAATATCACTTTTTACCAAAAATTACAAAAATATTCACCAAAATTAGAGAATTGAAGATATCATCACGAAATGAACAAATCTGAGAGAGGTTCACATGTAGTACCTATATATGTAGTATCAAAGCAATTGGACTTGCGGTTTTTAACAAGAAGTCGAAAATATCACTTTTTACCAAAAATGACAAAAATATTCACCAAAATTAGAGAATTGAAGATATCAACATGAAATGAACAAACCTAAGAGAGGTCTACCCAAGGTACATATACACCAAGTATAAAAGCATTCAGGCTTGTAGTTTTCAAGAAGAAGTCAAAAAAGTAAAACATTGACACGGACGACGACAACGGACAATCACTCATATGATAAGCTCCGCTCGACAAAGTCGACAGCGGAGCTAAAAATTAAGCTTGTGTGAATATTTCTACATACCTGTCCGGCTAACACAGCCTGAGTATACTTAGCTGGTAAACTGCCAGCTAAACCAAACAGACTGGATTGGTAAACCGCAGAAGCTCCTGAATAAAACAACATTTGTTAATTTAGGAAAATTAAATAAAGTCTAGACTTTCTGGATTATATATATATATATATATATATATATATATATATATAGTGTATGCACCAAAGTAAGTTCTCAACTGAACAACTATATTTATTCTATTAATAGTGTGTTTGCTAACATATATTATAGAGTTTTTGTATTTTGGTTTATATACACTTCTGCCTTTTAAATAGAATGCTGATCACTTGCATTCAACAACATCGAGGTATAAATCATACATGTAGTTGTTTAAAAGTCAAAACACAGCCAAATAGTCAGTATCAGATGAGACAAGAAAACGTGTTCAGCATTTATACTAGTGCTTCGAAATTTCCATTTGTTCTTGTCTGTGTAACTCACAGACAACATTTCTCATGACAAAAAATGGTTGAATAAATTTATATACATTTTTTGCACTGTAAACTACTTTATTTCGTTTGGAATTAATTTTTGCTATTTTTGCTGAAGGAATGATTCAGTGAAAGTAAAAATCCAGTGAATGCACCATTTTTCCTATATTTTACATTCAACTCATCAAAATAAGTGAAAATAAATTCCATACAAAACACCCGAAAAGTCTTTTCAGCAAAAAATTAATTCCAGCTAAAATAAAGTCTTCTACAGTACTAGAGAAACTACAGTATAAAATGTTTTCATATATTGTAAGAATTCAAGTTCAAAGCTACATATGCTACTTTTCAAAGATAATTAGGTGATATCAACTTACCATTGAAAATAACAATAGTCCCCATAGTTATACCATAAAAAATCCCTGGCCCTGTATCAAATGACAGAATGATTAAAGGGTCAACAAAGGTCAAACTAATAACTCAAATTGTTGTTGACGACATCTGTTGATTTGGTTATTGACAAAAAAATACTACCGCTGTTTTTGACATGGAGGCATTCTTTCGACAGGTGCATATACCCACGCAAGCATAATCTATAAATGGATAACATGGGGAAGGTCACCTTCGCTCATATTGTGTTTTCAAAACAAGTTATCAATACCCAACACTGAATGGGAATGAGTTTCACCAGTGCATTCTTGTTGGTGATGTCATGTTGATCTGTAGAACTGAATTATGTTTTACTCCAGGGACATGAAATTATTTAGGATTTGTCAATGAAGACAGGAGTCAGTAAGAAAATAATGGTAATAAATAGTCCTAATAAAAAAAGAATAGAATAACAAAAAAAACTGTAAAAGTTGAGTACTTACATGATGAGGTATCTATAATGGCAAGGACTTCTGTAAGCACGAACAAAAGAATAATTAAAATGATACTATAACCAATCCTTGACTTGGTCATGGTCCTACAAAAAAAGATGGTGGTACATGTAAATAAATTGAGCCAATTACTGTTGAGCAAGGGATGAATCATTAAAACTCATCTGTAACCAAATATTGTTTTACAGAAGAATTGTGAGACAGCTTAGCAACACTTTTTTTTAAGATGGATTATTTTTATGCCTATTAACCAGCTTTATGCCTACTAACCCTAACCTGTCAAATTTTTAGTGACTGTGTCAATAATGAACAAAGAAAGATAGAAATAGATTATAATTAAATTGGGTGAGCATTTGGCATGTTAACTACAAATGGTGTAATTTCAAACAACAAACAAGTGTTGTATATTGGTTATAAATAATGACAAGAACCACATGTCTATATATGCAGCCATGCTTCTTTTTTTCATTTTGTACTGGCTCAAAAATCTAGTAAAAATCATTCTCAGTTATACAGACAATCCTATTGTCTTTGACAATAAGAATGACATGGGAAGTAGTAAACCAATGAGTAAAGACAACATTACTTGAACAAAAGTCGGTCAAAGCATGACCAAGAATTGGTTGAGAACGAGTGTAAATAAAACTAACATGGCCACCAATTGGCCATTTCGATAGTTAATAGTTAATTATGATTCAAACGTTAAACTACACAATTTTACTGTAATAAAATAACCATTCCTATGTTAAATTATCATTGACTGATTCTATGCTCTAAAGTTATACTGTTGGCAAAATTTTAACCACACTTAACCACAAAAATCAAATCTCAAAGTTATGACATATTGCATATCACTTCACATGCCAAAACAATATAACTTATAAAAGCTGAATACTGTGTTACCCCACCAAGATCTGTAATACATCAGATAGGACTTACTTGTGAGAAATGAAAAGAGTAACCACCATAAAGCATAGAGTTGGTACAAAGCCAGCAATGCCGAGATAACTAAGGAATTTATCCTTATACTCTGCATTGTCACTAACATTGCCAAATTTGTGCTCGGTAAAATACTAAAAAAAAAAAGAATAAATCTTCATTAATACATTACACATTAAACGTTTCTATTCATACTACAGGGTAGTGCAATTACTTAGACACTCACAATGAACATTTTGTGTCAAATTAATTGTAGAACAGTTAATATTTTCATCGTGCAGTCTATTTGTTTTTATCACACAAGCGACACTTTTTTTTAAGATGGATTATTTTTATGCCTATTAACCAGATTTTTAACAGACAGATGCTTTCTGGTATACCAGCAATATGTCTACACATTCATATTTTATCTAATACACAACAGAGTGTTCCATAAATATGTTTTGCATCTGGACACATTATTGAATAAAGGGTTGATCATTATAAACACAGGGTGGGAGGCAGATGGTAGAACTACTGCGCAAATCACACGTATATCTGTCCTTCACTAAATTTTGTATGCTCTTATGTTCTCTATGAATCAAATGACTGTTGGAATATTCATTTTTTTTTACTGAAATTTTTGACTCCCATGTGCGAAGCACAAAATGGGTGTCTTTGCAGTTAGTGTGTCTGTATGTGTGTATGTGTGTATGTGTGTATGTGTGTATGTGTGTCCGACTGTTCCACTGCTATCTCAAGAACCATACATCGGTTTTTGATGAAACTTGGTGCATAGATGCTCTGGGCCAATGCGCAGATTTGATTAGGTTTTGGTAAAAATCCATGCTCGTTAATTACCTAATTTGCATGATAATTAGCTAATTTTTAGCTGTTCTATGACTGTTCCACTGATATCTAAAGAACCACTCATTGGATTTTGATGAAACTTGGTACATAGATGCTCTGAACATATGCGCAGATTTGATTAATTTTTGGTAAAAATCCGTGCATATTAATTACCTAATTTACATGATAATTAGCTATTTTTTAGTGGTTCCATGACTGTTCCACTGATATCTAAACAACCACTCATTGGATTTTGATGAAACTTGGTACATAGATGCTCTGAACTAATGCTAGGTTTTGATTAGTTTTTGGTAATAATCCGTGGATACTAATTACCTAATTTGCATAATGATTAGTCAATTTTCGGTTTTTCCACTGATATCTCAAGTACTAATCATCACATTTCAAATGAAACTTGGTACATAGATGTCATACGACACTGCACAGACCTGATAGTTTTTATGGTAATATCAGTACATATTAATTACCTAATTTGCATAATTAATTAATTTTCAGCATTT